TTTCTTTGTTTCCTTTTTTTTTGTTTTTTTTTTCGGATACTGTTTCCTTTTACTACGAGCAGCCCCCAAGGGCTCGTCAGCACTTGCACAAAAAACAGAACATATGGCGACAAACGGTTCCAAGTTCTAGCAGAAGATTCATTATAGTTTTTGCACATTTGGTGAGTAGTGGAGATAAGGTCTGGAAAGCACATGGTGAGTTGACCTTCTACTGCCCAGAAACTCGCGTGCTCATTGGTCCCATAACTACTGTAACGCGGACCTTAATGTGAATCAACAGCATATATACTTGGCGTGCCATGACTCGAGTTATGAGCATTATCTCGTTCACGGTGAGGTGGCCCTTACTAATTATGTGTAAGGGCCTCTCAAATAGCCCCCAGGGGTTTTGAAAAAAATGTTAAAAAGCACTTTGTTTTTCCTTCCCCCCCAACCCCCCCTCACCCTCCCACCTCGAAACCGAAATTTCTCAGAGGATTTGGGCAGTACTCAACAAGCGCAATACAACCATAAAGTCGAAAAAAATAAAAAATAATATCAGCGGATGACTGTTTTCTGAGTCGCCGGCCCCCGACTCCCCCACCCCCGACACCCGACCCCCGCAACCCCGACCAAAGCCGACCCCCGAGCCCCACACCCCTGACACCCGACCCCGCCGACCCCTGCTCCCCGTAAACCCGACCTCCTCAGTGGTTTAAAAGAATGTGGGTGGAAGTCAATCCTTCTCCTTTAAGGGAAAGTAATCAATGCCTCTCTCCCGAGTCTGGCAAGATTATGGTGTTTTTATAGGATTTGTTTCACGGAAGTAATGGCTATGACTCTCCTCACCTTAATGGGGAGAGGCGTGAGTTAAGCAGGTTATCATGTATTTGAATGCCGTTATGCAAGCCTTGGGCACTGGACCTTTTTGAAGGGGGAAAGAAGTGTCTTCTGATTCAGTTTTGCACCTGATTAAAATGTTCGCAATGCTTATCATTTTTTTATTGGATTGCTACAAAAAGTTGTTTGAAGTGTTTGAATTTTTCATTGGATTGCTACAAAAAGTTGTGGTGAATGCTACAATCTATGAATGAAAGCTAAGACCCCGACATGCAAAGGCCGAAGTTTGAAATACAGGTAAAAACTAAGCCAGGGTGGAAAATTTTGGGCACAGCTACGGCTGGGCACGGGTGGATGGATACTGGGTTCGGGTGCGGTTGGATGCGGGTGAACGAAAATTTGGCCTGGGTGTGGCTGGGTATGGGTAGACAATTTTTAAATCACCCTCGGTGAGCTGGGTACGGGTAGGAATTTTTTTTTTTGGCGTGGTTGGGCTGGGTCTGGGTGAAAAAAATGTGTTTACGTGGGTCTGGCTAGGTATGATATGTCAAGGCTTCGGCTGGGTCAGATATGGGCAGGAAAAAAAATGGTTTTGCGACCTCTGCAGGAAGGTAACCAGGGGACGATTAAGAGAGATTATCACATCTGCTTCAGAGATTGGACAACAGTGGACCAAAGGATCCCATTCCGGCCACCCTCCGACTTTCCTGACCCTTTCCCTCCCCATCAGCTGACCATGGTGGACACACAATAGTATGGAGTGGAGTGAATAGGCCAGCAGCATCAATAGAGGTGGTGTATCTCAAAAGGTAGGGGCAGGGAGGGTAGCAGCAGGTAAAAAAAGTACCAAAGGATCCCGTTGCGGCCACCGTCGGCTTTCCTGACCCTTTCCCTGGACATGAAATGGTATGGAGCGGTGTGAGTAGGGCAGCAGCATCAATAGAGGTGGTGTTTCTCAAAGGTAAGGGGCGGGAGGAACCAAAAAAAAAGAAAAAAAAGGCCGTGTATAACCAACAAAACCGACAAGACATATCTAACCACAAAAAGAGAGAATAGCTTGCTAGTACGAGCCCGATCGTAGCTAAGACCATAAAAACCAAAAAAGTACTAGCCCGATCGTAGCTGCTCAAATCTGCCAAGACAGAGAGCTAGCAAGACCGGAATGTGTGTTGTTTTAAAACCCCCCAGATTCTCTCCCCCATTCCCTTCACAAATCATCACAAGCCATCCATACCGAAAAACTGTAGATAGGCAATATAATAGAAAATGCAAGGTTGGCCACGTTTGTGTGGTTCAGCGTCAAGTGGCCACACCCCCGTCTGCCGCCAATGTGGCGCACTTGCACATATACATATGTACACATATATATTTCAAACTGTAAGGGGATGGAGGGCAGAAGGCACCTTACCTAAGAAAAAAGTCTACTCCAGCAAGAAGGCACCGACCGACCCCCTCAAAGGTCCGAAAAAACTTTGAGAGCCTTCCACATCGGCCCACAAAACCAGAAACTCATTTACCAAAAACAAGCAAATATACCAGCATTGGCATTCCCAACATTCATTTCAAACTACACACTCACGCCACTGCCACAGAGGAGGAAGAAGATAAGAGACAACTTACCTACGACAGAAGACTCCTCCAGCAAAAATACACCCCCCCCCCTGCTAAGGGTCCAAAAAAACTCGGAAAGCCTTCCACACCGGCCCACAAAACATACATTCCCGCCAACGAGAACTTGTGGCCACCCATAAACATCGAAACAGCCCATTGTGTGTGTGTGTGCTATAAAATATTGCCACAACTTCCCCTAGTAGATCTAAAGTCATAGCAACTTTTCTTCTGTGTGTGTGTGTGTGTGTGTGTGTGTGTGTGTGTG